AAATGCCTCTTACTTTCTTCAAGTGTGTGTTGTGTTCAAAATGAACCAGCTGTAACACTTGAATGTCACTCCCTGGTTTCCTTTTTTCAGTCTCATTTTTCCTGGATCCTATGTCCTACTAATTCTTGTATATTCTCCATAACTCAGGAGCATTCTTTCAGAAAGAGTGCTGGCAAAATTCTGTTGCGATTGTCCTAGCATGACTGAACCATGAATCCATGACTGACAGTGGCTGTGCACAGCACTCCAAAATGGAAAGTAGCAGAATTTCATACTTTTTTTTTTTAAAGCTGCCAAGGTCAAGATGTCCAGACTCACTCGGAGGCACACTTCTTTATATGTGCCCCACTCTCCTTTTGAAAGCTTTTAGTATATTACATTTATTCTCAATAACTTTAAATTTTATGATAACAGGCCTTGTGTTTGGTATTTACATTTCTGTACAGGGTGCAACTTGGAGACCCATGTTCTTTAGGTCTAGGAAATTTTATGGTTTTTTTTAAATCATTTTTTCTGCCTTTGGGATGCCTCTCCTTCAGACACTGAAACTAGTGAACTGACTAAGCTTTTCCACTGTCATTTTCCATCTTTGTTCTTCTGTTCAGTTTTCTGGAAGATTTACTTGACTTTATCTTCCCACTCTTCTATTGAAAACATTTAATTCAATATCTTATTTTAAATTTCTCTTGTCCAGTTTTCCCTTTCACAGCCTACTGACTTTTGTCCTAGAGATGAAACATCATTTCTTATTTCTGAGGATACCAATAAAAATTTTCACAATTTTCCCTCTGCTCAATGTAATTGTGTCTATTCCTCCAGGTTCTTTTATTTTGATCCCTCTCATTCATGACTGAGACTACATCAATAAACAATTAATTTTTGTTACCCTTTATTATTTAAAAGTTAAGCACTAAATGCTTTTCATGAGAGAGCAATTGAGTAACAAGCTGCCTTTGGTTTCTGATAGGCCCAAATGTTAGCATCTTGAAAATCATTCCTCTGTGGCCACTGAGTTTCTCAAGTGCTGCAATAGTCTATTGTATATTAAACAGCATAAGCACAACAAAATAACATTAACAGTATTCAAAATGGCAATATTATTCTGAATCCATGAACATCAAGAAAAGTAGCCTCCAACATCTCATATCATAGAAAACCTATAAGAATGAATAGGATAGTTTATCTCATCAAGACATATTAAATATTTGGGTGCACGAGAGAGAACAAAAGGATGTAACAATGGGAAAATCAAATCACTGGGTGCCGAATACAAACAGCATCTTTAAAACAACAGCCTTCCATGCCTAGTTTGCATAATCCGTTAAGGCCTGTGTGAAAGAAAGACAAATTTACTTTTCAAAATAGTTCTCTCTTGATTTCCACTTAGTCTCCTCTAGCTATTAATTTGGCTAAACTTTAATCAGTAAGATAACTTACAAAGACAGAAAATTTTCTCTGTTATGATAAATAGAAAAAGAGACAATATGCATAGAGAAAAATAAAACAGTAATTAAAAAAAAACACCAATTTTTTATTGTGTTACAAAAACATTTTTTTCATTAAGGATGATTATCAAAATTATGTTTAAAAATCATAAAAGCATGCTTTTACAGTAAGCTACAGATAATAAGATCATTTTCTATACTTACTAAAGCGTGTGGAATAGAAAAATTATGTCAATAGCTTCAATTAGCCATTTTTTACACTTAGCTTATAACTACTCCTGAACAAAAGAAATCCACAGCAAAAAAAAAAGTAATAAATCTCAGCAGAAAATGGCAGAGAAGAGTCTCTCTCTCCTAGGAAAATTTTTTAAAAATCTTAGAAACTGACTGTGAAGTGCTGCAGAAACAAAGACAAATCCTTATTGTCCTAGGCTGTGAATTGGAATGAACTTGGCACTAGATTATGGGGTATTCCCAAAGGAAAGTACCTTACTGGCTTCTCTCCCCTCCCTCCCCCAATCCTCCTCGATCCAGTGTAGTTGAGCTCAGTGTTATGCAACGTCTGCTTACTTTGGCTTCAAGGTCCACAGTGAAAAAGGAAAGACAAACCTTTACACTAGTCACCATAAATGTTAAGGAAGGAAATGTCCAATGCATGGATATATTTGATAACCTACACAAAAAGTTGATTGAAAACAGGGGAGGGAGTAGGCCACTATGAATTAGTGAAAGACATGTTAGCCAGAATTTAAAAGTAAAAGTAGTTTGATTGGTTTCAAAGTATGTAAGAATATAAGACTACAAACTGATTGCCTATAAAATGTTTTCAAAGTAGAGACTGCACTTTAATATTAGATGAAGCTCATCTGTACATTAATTTTATATATATGCAAATGATGCTACTTATGTTCTTAAAAATAATTCAGCTCCTTAAGTGAACCAACAACAAAAAAATCCTGATATTAACAGTGTTAATTTGCCTAGTAAATAATTCTCTTCAGTACATGAGAAAATCAAATTTTGAAGTGAACCAAATTCTAAATTACATATGATTTAAGCGACTATGAGGAAATTATATGGGGTGTAAAATACAATATTAATCCAAATATTTAATATGCTAATTATGAGTAAATGCTGTTTTTGAGAAGCTATGACTTTTCAAAATATTGAAAATATTAAAATTCATTTCCATGTATTTATTAAAGCCATGAGTCTAATGAATATAATTACTAGGTATTATGTGTTTTTAAAATTTAAAAGACCTCCTATATTTACATTTTCATAGTAGTATTAGAGAATTCCGAAAGATGAATATAGAAATGTTTAATTAGATTAAAAACAGAGAACTTTTTACTCGTTATAGTTTCTGACTTAGATAAGCTATTTACTGGCAAAATGGGTTCATTAAATTACTTGGAAGTGGAATTAATGAGAAAGATTCCACTTATGCACCTGCCTTGGCAGAAGCAGTACAACCATCAGTTAAGAAAATCTATCAGGACATATGAGGAGAGTACTACCTATTGCTGGCCCTAGCTTAGTATTTAAGAAAGCCCCAATATTTTAAGATGTGCTTACCTTGAATAAAAATACACACATACATATATCCCATACTATATTTGAAATATTATTAAAATGTTGTACTTTAATTCATTTCAAGATTTTCACTTGCCATTTGGTGTTACACTGGCAAAAACAGGAAAACGGTTGATTCTAGTTCATTCTTTAGATCAATAAAGTATTAGGTTCAAATTCCACATGTGAAAAAACTAAAACTAACACACATTCCTATTTTCTCAGAAAAAGGATCAGACCTATTAAAATTATTAGGCATAAACGAAATACATGATTGAAATAAAATTTTTTCAGTCCTATGGATAGTAATTCCAAGACTCAGTACTTCCAGGAAAAGCAAACTAGAGGTAGGCTGGGGGAAAAATATCTTGAGCTGAATGGAAATCAGTATATCTAAATATATGAGATGTAGCCGAACCAGTGTTTAGAAAGAAACTTATAGATTTAAATGTCTGTGTTAGAAAGAGTAAAACACAATAATCTAAGCGTCCACCTCAAGAAGCTAAAACAAGAGAAAATCAAAACCAAAGATAAAGAAAGAAAATAACTAAGGTACAAGAAGTCAATAAAATAGAAAATAGAGAACAATCAATAAGTAAAGGTGCACTGTTGAAAAACAACAGCAAAATTACTAAACTACTAGCTAGACTGAGAAGAAAATAGATCAAATGACCAACTTCATGCATGGAGACAGCACTACAGATGGGCTCAACATTAAAAGGATATTAAGGTTAATTGACCCTATATGTGTGGGTTTATTTTTGGGTTCTCTATTCTGTTCCATTGATCTATGTGTCCATTTTCATGCCAGTACCATACTGTTTGGATCACACTATAGCTTTGTAGTATAGTTTGAAATCAGGGAGCTTGATACCTCCACCTTTGCTCTTCTTTCCCAAGATTGCCTTGACTAGTCAGGGTCCTTTGTGGTTCCATGGGAATTTTAGGGTTCTTTGGTCTAGTTCTGTGAAAAATGACATTGGTATTTTGATGGGAATTGCATTGGGGATTATGGACATCTTAACAATATTAATTCTTCCAATTCATGAGACTGATCTATCTATCCATTTATTTGCATTATCTT